TGGTTAATGCACTGCGTATTCCACAACAAGAAGGTTGGACTTTGTCCTTAACAGAACTCATAACTTTGTTTGGGGTGATAGAGCAGAGCGGTTGTGGAACACCCTTGATGAGTCTGTCTTTGTGAGTATGGAGGTAAGGGCCGCTGCCTACGGGTTTTTAGTAAAACCCTAGAGTACTTGTTAAGCGGGACCAGCACATGGCCTAATAACGCGTTGCCTTAAGAGGACCGTGAACTCTGTGTATAGTGCGAATATGCTTCTTAGACTTTGAATGTATCAAGATCATGACATAGTTCTCTTGTTTTTTTAAAGTTTATAGTTTCATGTTCAACTTTAGGTTCAAGGGATCGTCCACCTAGGGCATTCATTATATTGTATCCAAATATTTTCTCTATTATATCATTTTTAGTAAATAAGTGGGGGATTGTTGTATATATANGCATTATATTGTACCCGAATATTTTCTCTATTATATCATTTTTAGTAAATAAGTGGGGGATTGTTGTATATATATGGATATATACTAATATTTACTAATAATGATAAATTATATAACTAATTATTTATTGGTGGTTAAAGTGACTCTTGAAGATAAGAGTTATAACCTTCCAAATAAAGATATCTATTGGCATTTAAATGAAGAATTACAACTCTTATAAAGAGGTGTATGGAACACTATAAATATAGAGTTCTTATTCATTGGCCAAAAGAAAAAGTTACATAGAAGTTAGTTAATTTCTAATTCTATTATCATATTTTCTTGTGATTGATCTTATGAGTTTCATTCGGGTTGAGTTCTAGTTCCAAGACTATTAAGAAACGCGGTCTTTGATAGTCTTAAATGCTAGGCATTGTATCCTGGGGATAGAAATTTTCATGAGTCTATCTGCATCATAGTGGAAAAATTACTATCTCGAAGATAGTGAGGGTCGCGCCTTGCCTAACGACTTTTTCTTATATTTCTTATCTTTATTGTGTCTTCTACTATGTTTTCTTATACCACCAGTTATTCTACACAACAAAAGGTTACTTTAATTCTATTGTGAGGCCTCTGGCCAACTGATAAACTTCAACAAATCAGAGATCATTTTCTCAAACAATACCCTAGCAGAGAAGAAGATGGAAATCACCCAAATGGTGGGAGTAATTGTCTTTCCCCATACTGCAACATATTAGGAATGGGCTTCAATGATTTCTCATGTTTTAGTTAACCTCTTCTAGCTAGTCAAGGTTGGAGATTGATCCACATAACCCAAATTCTTTGTGCGCAACAACATTNTTGGAGGAATGGGCTTCAATGATTTCTCATGTTTTAGTTAACCTCTTCTAGCTAGTCAAGGTTGGAGATTGATCCACATAACCCAAATTCTTTGTGCGCAACAACATTGAAAGTCATCTACTTCCCAAATACTATCTTCATGAATGCTAAGAAGAAACCAAGATCCTCATGGACCTGGAACAATCTCCAATTTGGCACAAATTTACTTGAAAAAGGTATGAAATGACAAGTCAAGAAAGGTGATAAAGTGAATTTCTAGGAGAACAGATGGGTTCCTTTCAACACTTCACCATTGAAAACCACAAAACCAGAATTATTCAATCTCACAATGGTCAAGGAGGCTAATAATTAAAGATCTTGCAAATGGAACACTAACCTAATCAAGGAGTTCGTAACAGATAACAAAATGAAAAACAATTATTGCAATTCCCTTCTCTAAAATCAACAGAGATGATCAAAGAATTTGGTGCTCAAATAGTATTGATAATTACTCAGTGAATTGAGGATATTATCTAACCAAGGAACAAGTACAGGAACAAAAAAAGGGATCAAGTGTCACACCTCTTCTCGAGAGACCAACTTGGTATCCTTAAGATATAAGTATAACTTGACACATGACAATACCTGTGCCTATAATGCAATACTACCAACTGAAGATCTTATAAAGAGATAAACCATACAACTCTATGACAGAGTACACAATAGTGTAACAAACTAAAACAAAATATTAGGAATTCATCCCTTACATCAACAAGGAAACATACATTTCTGTACAATATGTACCCAACCAGTTTCCTCAATCTCCCATTCCTACCCTGTTAGTGTTGTAATTGACCCAACTCTAAACTTCAGCCTCTTAAAACCAAATATTNCATAAAGAGATAAACCATACAACTCTATGACAGAGTACACAATAGTGTAACAAACTAAAACAAAATATTAGGGAATTCATCCCTTACATCAACAAGGAAACATACATTTCTGTACAATATGTACCCAACCAGTTTCCTCAATCTCCCATTCCTAACCTGTTAGTGTTGTAATTGACCCAACTCTAAACTTCAGCCTCTTAAAACCAAATATTTTCTTAGTGTACTATGTATCGTAATAAATGAAAATATTAAAAATATGGATCAAATATCATTTCAACAAAATATGTTTACAATCTAATGAAAACGATAAAAGCACAGTGTTTCAGCTCACTTTGTAATCTCAAATCACTGCCAAAATATCAACATAATAAATAGTCCACATGTACTATGAGTCAACAACATTTAAACAATGTCAAACTATAACAACATTTAAACATTGTCAAGCTATCTAAAGCAATGTCAAGTTGTCTCACGACAACTACACAGTATCCAAATCAACAACATGTAAGTCATGTCAAGTTATACAACAACTCTACCACGGTGGATACTACTCAAATCACAAGTTTTTCAACAAATCACAAGTTTTTCAATAATTCATTAGTCTTTCAACAAAACATATTTGATCCATTNCCAAACTATAACAACATTTAAATATTGTCAAGCTATCTAAAGCAATGTCAAGTTGTCTCACGACAACTACACAGTATCCAAATCAACATCATGTAAGTCATGTCAAGTTATACAACAACTCTACCACAGTGGATACTACTCAAATCACAAGTTTTTCAACAAATCACAAGTTTTTCAATAATTCATTAGTCTTTCAACAAAACATATTTGATCCATTATTTCCTTAACTCAACATCTCGAAGCTTCCTGTAGAAGTTTCAATGATAGAATGCTTGGACGTGGTTGAGCTTTTTGAGACTCTTAATAATGTCTCTTTGATTCATGGTACTATGGATAAAAGGGTTTGAATCAGTGATCCTATTTGTGTTTTTTCATGTAAATTATTATTTGAATCTTTAATCGATGTCCCTTTTTTCCTTCATTACCTCCATCAAATGTGATTTGGGAAGCTAAAGTGCCATTAAAGGTTCAAATTTGTGTTTGGATAATTGTCCATGACAAGATCAACACTCAAGATGCGCTTCACAGAAGAAAATCAAAGATTTGTTTTCTACCTCAATATAGTGTGTTATGTGCAAAGGCAATTGCGAGAGTGTGGATCATTTATTTTTATATTGTCCCATTGAATTGTCTCTTTGGAATAGGTTATTTTGTTATGCGAGTCTTTGTTCGGTGGTACTTAAAAACTATNCTTTTTTCCTTCATTACCTCCATCAAATGTGATTTGGGAAGCTAAAGTACCATTAAAGGTTCAAATTTGTGTTTGGATAATTGTCCATGACAAGATCAACACTCAAGATGCGCTTCACAGAAGAAAATCAAAGATTTGTTTTCTACCTCAATATAGTGTGTTATGTGCAAAGGCAATTGCGAGAGTGTGGATCATTTATTTTTATATTGTCCCATTGAATTGTCTCTTTGGAATAGGTTATTTTGTTATGCGAGTCTTTGTTCGGTGGTACTTAAAAACTATTTGCTCAATGATTGGTATGGATGGGATATGCGGGAGTGGCAATTACAAATGGACGATTCTTTGGGGATGCGCATGTTTTGCTACCAGTTGAGAAGTTTAGTTGGAAAAGAATACAAGAATTTTTTATGACAAATGTGAGGTAATTGAAGGTTTATGGGATATGATTTTTTTTTCTTGGCCTATTATTTGGGCCTTGATATCAAAGGAGTTTGAGAATATTCCCCTTTTTTGCATCACTTCAAATTGGAAAGCTTCATGTGGGATGTAGATATTTTCTTCTTTCTCATGGTGTATTTTTTTTTTTAGTATTGTCTCTGAATTTTTGTTGTTTTGGACTACTTGTCCAAACGCGATTGCTTATTGTACTAACTTTCATTTTGGTTATTAATGATATCATTGTTTCTTATCAAAACAAAATATTAGAGGAGTGATGTGAGTTGGTAGAAGGCTTATGAGATTAGATTCAATTGTTTGGCATTATTTTGGTTACTGTAGACTTGGAAGGAATTTCGTTCTTTTGTACTTTGACGGAATGGAAAGCTTTATGTGACTCATAGTTATGATTTGTTGTTTTTGGTGGTGTTTTCTTCACGATGGACATCTTGTCCATCCTATGTTATTTTATGATGTACTAGTTGCAAATTGGTAAAATCTTTTTGTTTCCTACGAAAAAATGTGAGGAGACACATTTAGGAATATTGGGAAAGAAGATAAAAGGCAATGTATTAAGCGGTTTTAAGATCATTTCTAGACGAACTGTTTTTTTTGTTAAATAGTTACCGTTCTAATAACATATTAAGCATGAGTTGGACTTAACCCCAACGATTGAAGAGGAGCTTGGGAGGAGATCACTGCTTTATAGCCTTCTGATGCTTGTGATGAACCAGTTTGTTCCTGGTTTGGACAAGAGCAAAGGAATGTACTTTTTGTTCATAAAGTCAGAAGCTAAGACTCTAGGAGGTCTTTTAGCTCGTCCAGTTCTAACCAGTTACTACAAAAGCTCATATTCTAGGCAGAGGCCTTATGATCCTTACACCAACTATACTAGCCCGAACGAAACAATTCTATGCTCAGATTCTTACCAGAGCATGTACTCTCAAATACTATGTGGGCTGTGTGTCAAAGCAGCGAAGTTCTTCTAGTTGGAGCCGTCTTTGCTTCTAGTTTCATTCGGGTCATCCAGTTCCTTGAAAAACACTGGCCTCTTCTTTGCAATGACATTTGAGATGGCACAATAGACTCCCAAATGATCAATGATTCCATGGTGAGAGAGGCCGTCATGAAAATTCTTAAACCAAATCCAAAACTTGCAGATTTCATCAAGGTCGAATGTAGCAGGGGATCATGGAAAGGGATCATCACTAGGTTATGGCCCAACACAAAGTATATCGATGAAATTGTGACAGGAACAATGTCACAATATATTCCAACTGTTGATTGTTATAGCAGTGGTCTCCCTCTAGTTTGCACAATGTATGCTTCTTCTGAATGTTACTTTGGTGTAAACCTTAGTCATCTATGTCAGCCAAGTGAAGTCTCTTACACCCTTATTCCCACCATGGCCTATTTGGGATTTTTACCAGTGAATTGGAAAGATGGAGGCACTGATTCCCACTCTGAACCAAGACCAGAAGACCCAAAAAGTGCACCACAGATTAGAGGAACTCACAGATGTTAAACTTGGACAACAATATGAGCTTGTGGTCACCACTTTTGCAGGTATAAAATTCAATATGTTGCCTAAAGAATCAGAGAGAGAGAGGTTGTTACTGTGACGCCTTATGATAAAATTTCTATTTGTAATGATCTTATTCTGATGCTGAAATTGCCGGACTTTATCACTATCGGGTTGGGGACATACTAAGAGTAGCTGTATTCAACGAGAAGGCGCCTCAGTTCAATTTTGTCTGTCAAAAGAATGTTCTTCTGAGCATCGATTCTGATAAAACAGATAAAGTTGAGCTGCACAATGCTGTGACTAATGCATNGTTATGATAAAATTTCTATTTGTAATGATCTTATTCTGATGCTGAAATTGCCGGACTTTATCGCTATCGGGTTGGGGACATACTAAGAGTAGCTGGATTCAGCGAGAAGGCGCCTCAGTTCAATTTTGTCTGTCAAAAGAATGTTCTTCTGAGCATCGATTCTGATAAAACAGATAAAGTTGAGCTGCACAATGCTGTGATTAATGCATCTAAGAATCTCTTGCCATTTGATGCATCTCTCATAGAATATACAAGCTACGCAGACACATCCACCATCCCAGAGGCCACTATGTCTTATACTGGAAAATTGGCTTCAATAATCGTACTGTTACTACAATTCCCCTATCAGTCTTTGAGGATTGCTGCCTTACCATGGAGGAATCACTGAACAGTGTCTACCGACAAGGTCGTGTGTCCGATAAATCAATTGGCCCATTGGAGATAAAGATGGTAGAGAGTGAAGCATCAATAACCAGTACAAGGCACCACGATGCATGAAATTTGTCCCCATTGTTGAGCTTTTGAACTCGAAAGTTGTTTCGAGTTACTTAGTCCCAAATGTCCTGAATGGGTTCCTGGTCACAAGCAGTGGAGTTCCAGCCAGCAACTGATCGAAGAAATAGAGGGCTTTCGAGAGTAGATTAGGCTCTTTTTTTTTTAACTGAAGAAAGAATTAGAAGAGAGTGAACAAGAACTGTTCTTTTATCAGCTTGGAGAGTAGATTAGATTCTGATTGTTGTTTACTATGTACAAAAACCGCTCTGATTTTATTCATATTCTCTCTTGGTTATTAGTGACGGGATTTGCAATCCTCATTATTTGCTAGCTATTATAGGCCACCAGTTATTTTATGATGAAAAAATGTTGACTAAAAACTATACCCTTCCATTCACATCACGGATTTTTTGACGGAAATTTCCATACAAGATGATCTGATTATGGTACTTCATAAATATCATGACAAAAAATTGTGTCCAACATAGTTCATTTCAGGGTTTCCGGTGAACGATAAAGAGAGAAACGGGTCATAATTAGCCTCAGTAAATATCACAAGAGATTACAATCAGGGAAAAAAAAACAAATAACACAAAAAGAACATCCTCAATATCATTGTGGAGCCAAAAATCCAATTACAGAAAAAAAATTGTCGAAAAAATGTTGCATTAGCATGTGGTCTGCCAATGGATTTGTTAGACAAATTGCATGGACAGAATAGACATTAATTTAGGAAATGTTGAGAGAAATGACCTGTGGATATAATTAGGATTGCTACAAGTCTAAACAATTGAATTCTCATACCATCAAAACATCAACTAAGCTAAGTTGGCTGGCTCCAAGAATCAGTGAAATGAAATATTTACATTAGAAGAAGCTCGTGGGAACCCCATCATTTTTGACTTGGATTTTTCCTGCCTCGGAGAATCTCTAAAATTGCAATGTCCTGAACATAGAATTATTTCCTGCAGCACCCTTCCATGCTTGAGCAAAAACTTTGCCAGACTAATATGAGTTTCGCATTCCGAGAACCCGTTTATGAGTGTATCTTTACCAACTTTAGATGATGAAGGAAGGGCATCAAAGCTTAGCTTTCAGATTCCCAGTAATGTTCTTCGCCTGAGCTAGAGACGTCCCACAAGTCCCTGTTCCGTTGATAGAATTGGATGAAATTAGATTGTAGTTCATATATGCACATCAGAGAAAATGAAATGTGAAAAGAATAAGCATTTGGGGTATCATGTTTAACACTTACTCCCCTTTCAGTCTTGAAAACACTAGAAAACTTGAAGACGAGTGTATGGAGAGTAGGAAAGTTCCCCAACAAGCTTGCGAATCATAGGATGTTTGTTATATTTGTTCAAACCAGTTCTCACTTCCAATGACTTGAGATTATCAAAGGGAGGAAGAAGAACACCACCAAGGTCATTATTCTTGGACAGAAGCTGCAGTCAATGTTATAGGTGTATTACTATTAATACAAGTATCACAAAGTTTCCATCATATTTTTCATTGGCAGCCCTATTGGGATTTCATGCATCCCATTCACCATCAAATTTTTTGTTTTTTGGTGAATCACCTGCATCCCAATATGAGATTCGTTGTTTTGAATCTGATCTGAGAATTAGTGCACGGGTAGTCATTGTTAATTGCTACAGCCAACAACTGCTTAAAGCTAGTGCAAAATTGTATAGCATCATACTCCCCTCATGTGTGGCATCTTATGTTTGAACTCAATACGCGACCCTTATCTTTTTTTTCTTTTCCCCACCCTTTGAGAGTACAGTTAGTCTTAATAACCTCCTAATGTTTTGAGTTTATATGTAAGCAATACTATTCATACCTCGAGACTTAACCTAATTTTGTAACTTAAAAATGTGCAGCTGACTTAATCCAATAGCATTAACTGTAATTGCAATAGATTGAATTTTTAAGAGACCATATCACTTGACACATCTTAGCCTTATCATTTATTTAACCAACATCTACATTGCGGCGGTATACATTTGAGATTTCCAAACCTGACATAGGAGTAGCTGCATGTGAGCATAGTTACCTAATAATCTACTCTAAAAATGCAATCCTAAGGGTGCTTTTTAACTTTTTCAATCCATTCTTGTATGACAAAAATCTTGCACCATTAAGAAAATCCTAAGAAGCCATTAATTCTGCAGTATAGATCCATGAATTTATACACAAATAAGGCAAAATTACTCAATACAACATTTATAGCCCAAAGCAATAAGTGAATCACTAAATTGCAGTGTATATATATGAAGAAATTGAGGAGGACAGTACCTCAACACATTGGCTTTCATGAGAGAGGCCAGATGGAAAATTGGATAAGCTCCAAACCTTTTCTGCACTCATCATGTCCTCACAAAGCGCAAAGAAACCAAAAGAGGCCTCATGCAGTGTCAAATTCTCCAGAATATAGTTATCAGTAATTGCATTATATCCCCAAAATATTGTTTTCAGTCTTGGAGCTTCGATCTTTTACAGAACTAGTGCTACTATATGCATCACCAGTAATGGTGAAATCAGAACCCATTGACGTGATTGAATCAGAACCCAGCCAGATAGCCTATGATGAATGTCCAAAACCATCTGCGCTTCTCACCAGTAATCTCCACAAGAACACAATCCATCCTTGAAATGGTGAAACCTGTTTGCATCCCTGACAACTATCTCCCTACAGACGAGCTTAGATATCAGCTTAGTTGCAGAGTGGCAGTTCACACATGCCCGCAGGTTTTTAGTTATCCTAAGTGTAGTTCCAGGAGGAGTGCTGATAAGTCCATAAGCAATTGCCAGTCTCTCACTATGGTTACAGAGAGTGTCCTCCTTGTCCTCACTATTCAAGTCGTGTAGCACAGAATCTGTATCCGGCAAAAATCCAGCCTGTTTCAACCTCCTCTCCAATCTGTCAAGCTCCTTAAATATTTCCTTTGATCTTGGATGTGACTTGTCTCCCATTCGAAAAACTTGAAGCTTTCCATTAATGTCAATCGTACTATAACCAAGGTCCTTACTCAGTCCTCTCTCCTTCATCAATATCCGTATCTTTGCCACACCATCCCACAAGCGGACTGAAGCATATAGATTTGAGAGCTGCACATAATGCCCCGTATTCAATGGGTCTAATGAGAAAAGCTGCTCTGCTGCATATTCCCCCAATTTTACATGGCGATAGATCTTGCATGCGCTCAACAGTGCTCCCCATACTGAAACAGCTGGCTCAATTGGCATGTTCATGATAAAATCATAAGCCTTTTCCAAATATCCTGCACGACCAAGAAGATCAACAACACAAGCGTAATGTTGGTGGCGAGGCTCAATCCCATAATCCCTTATACTGTGGAAAAGTTCCCATCCCTCTTCAACAAGGCCCGAATGATTACATGCTGTAAGGAGCCCAATAAATGTTACATCATTAGGGCACACCCCCGCTTGCTTCATGGCACCGAAAAGACCGATAGCTTCCCTGCCCTGACCATGCAATCCATAACCCATAACCATGGCACTCCACACAACGACGTCTCTGTTTACTGTTTGTTCAAATACTTTACGAGCTAACTCAACACTTCCACATTTAGCATACATGTCAATGAGGGCCGTGTTGACAAAAACATCATTTCTGTAGTTAGTGTCACTGATATAGTTATCCATCCACCTCGCTTGTTCAAGTGACCCCACTTGAGCACAGGCCAATATAGTAGACCGCACCGTGACTTCATCTGGTCGGATATTTTTGGATATCATCCTCCAGAAGAGCTCTACAGCTTCGTTGGCATAACCATTTTTTGCAAACCCCGAAATCATGCAATTCCACAAGATCACATTAGATACTTCCATTTGATGAAACAAAAATTTGGCAACCATTGGCTGCCCGCATTTGGCGTACATTGCTGTAAGGGAAATCCGCAAGTCCAGTTCAAGTTCAAGACCAATTTTGAACACAAAACCATGAACACATTTTCCTTGCTTCAAGTCCTCCACATCTGTATAAGCCCTGAGAACACTCACAAGCACAATCCAATCCAATTCCACATCCAATTCTCTAAGCTGCTTAAAAAACTTCAAAGCTTCCATAGGGTGCCCATTTTGGGCATACCCAGATATAATGGCAGTCCACGAAACAATAGTCCTGTCATCTAACTCATCAAACACCATCCGAGCCCTTTCAATTTGACCACATTTTGCATACAATGCCACAAGCGCATTTTGGACAAACACGTCGGATTCAAACCCATGTCTAAATATGTGTCCATGCACCGCACGACCAATTTCAACAGCAGATGAGCCACAACACGCCTTGAGCACAGGAGGAAGAGTGAAGCAATCCGGACGCACACCCATTTCTTGCATTTTTGTATACATCTCAATAGCACTGGTAAACATATTGTGCACAGAGTATCCCCTGATAATGGCATTCCATACAAAAACATATGGGTCTGGAAATTCATCAAACAATTCTCGTGCATGGTGAATTTCACCAAGATTTGCGCTCACATTGATGAACTTAGTCACCAAGAAACCATTAAATTGAAGTCCAGACACGTATAAGCGCGCATGAATTTCATTCAGATGGCTTTTATGTGTTAGTTTATCGAGAAGGAATGTGTAATATGAAACGAGATCGATGTGATTGTAGAGGAGGTTATCGTTGTAGAAATAAGGGTCTAAATAGAGAGGTGATGTCGAACAAGATTTGAAAAACTTGAACGTGGACAAGGGAAATTGAAATGAAGTAAACTGTGTGAAGTCCAACGGTCGGGTTTTTGCGGGAAGAGAGAAGAGAGAAAGGTTTGCAATTGCAAGTCTTCTAGGGAGAGAGAAACACAGAGCCATTTATGGATCGCATGGTCGCATTATTGTTGAAGCAGTGTTTTGGTTTGCTATTTGGGCTTCTACTTATGCTCTCTTGAGTCTTCATAATGAACACAATCAAGTATTTAGTTTAATCGAAAAAATAAAGACGCTGTAATTTCATAAGTCTTTGAGTTTAGATCTTGATGAGTTTAGATATTGATAATTCTTTATATTCCATTTGGTAGAAAAAATGGGAATCTTGACAATTTATTATGTTTTGTTTGGTAGAAATGATGAAAAGTAGAATAGATACATTTTTTATCTTTCAAAGATGAAAAGTAGGAATGATATACTTTCATTCTTTTGTATTTTGTTAGATGGATTAAAAATAAAAATAACTAATATTTTTTTTAATTTTTTTTGCACTAGTTAAGATTAGAGGTGACAATCGAATCGTGTCGTGTCAGATTGAATTATAAAATTATGAACTTTTTATATTTCTTGTTTGTGTCTCAGGTCATTTTCAAGTTTGTATTGAGTTATAATCAAGTTTGTATCATAAAATTCGTGTCGAATTTGAGTTGTGTTATCGTGTTAAGTCAAAAAATTTTAATTCTAGAAAAAATATATTTTTTTAATTTAAATTTTTAAATTTTTAAAATTTTTTAATTTTTTTTAATATGTATATATATATATACATACATACATATTTTATCATTGTATTTTTATATAAAATTAATGTATACATAATATATAGACAAATAAGATATATCTCAACACAAATAATTAACATTTCATCCACTTCCTTCCGATTTTAAAGGGATTGATTTTAGTGAGTTGAAAAAAAGGTTAATTTATCCACTTTTCTATCATTCCTATTTTTATTCCTTATCAAACATGATGTTTTATTTATCCCTTCAACTATTCATCTTTCCAGGAATAGTGAGTTGAAAGTAGGAATGATATACTTTCATTCCTTTGTTTTTTATTTGGATGGATGGTGATACGGACGAAACTCAAAGCCAAGCGTTGATGGCCCAGACACCTGACCAGCCCAAGAGGTCCAAAGCAGAAAAGCGGCACCTGGCATCAACGAAAGCCTATAGCCCAGCAGTCCAGGTCCAGCCCAAACCATAAAGTGATTTGGAGAGTAAAAACCTAATCCAAACTATTTTTGGATGAGTAAAGGGGACCTTGCATCCAGGGGGACCACCCCTGACACTTGCAGCAATCCCAAAAGGTGGAGCATCAAGCCGCCAGAGATCATGGCAACTGCAGCGCCAGATGAACAGGGACACCGGATGAACAGTGATCATGGTGGCAGAAGAAGCAGGAGGAGGTCAGAGGAAAGGATAGTTGGAGGCCCTAGGAGAAGCTGGTATAAATGGACAACGATAAGAAGATGACTACAACGACATCTCCCCCAACAGAAAAAAGATCGGAGAACATTTTGGAGGTAGAGAGCGTAGAAAGCTGAAAGAGAATACCACAATAATCAATCTTTGTAAGCGGACCCTGAGTCCCAAGTCATTACAGGCACTTTGCCGGCAAATGAATACATAATCCTAGCGAGCAAGAGACTCCATTGATAGTGGACGTAGCCTTAGTCCTTCGACTAAGGTGAACCACTTACATTCCTTGTCCAACTGTTCATAAAAGATTAATCCACAATCTACAAAGTCATTCCCACAATATCACCCCATCATAATTGGGTTTGGGCCCTAAAATTCGAGCATCATCAGTTGGCGCCATCTGTGGGAACGCTTTTCATCGTTTCCTTATCTGATTTCTATTTGATGGTTTCAACTTGGAATATGAGTAAATCTCCTGCCAACCCTCAAGCCCATCAGAACCTACTAGAAGATCCCCCGATTCCAGAAGTGGACACTGCAAACCACTTCACAGTGACGAACCTTCCCCCTCTCGAGGGAATGGATACTTTCCACCGAACCACGATACAACTTATGAAACAAAACCAGGAGCTACTGGAATGGATATGGACTCACCAGCTCCCTCCATTCCCACCAACTCAAGAAGAGCCCCCTCCACCGCCAGCAGGTCACGACGCTCCCCTTCGAGGACATCAGGCTCCACCAAATGGGGTCACAGAGCTCCACGAACACAGCCACTCTGGAGAAAACCATCGGAGAAGACGCCCCGAAGAAAAAAATGAGGACGAGGCCCATAGCTGAGCCACCGCAGCCTTCCAACAGGATAGACCTCACCCTCTGTTCAAAACAGATGATCGCATATGGGAGCAGAGAATCTGTGAACTCCAGCGAGAGCTAGGCAACGTGAAGGAAGTAGTTAGAGGAAAGGCCCCCGACACCATAGATGCCCTAGTCCAGCAAATCGAGTCGTCATTCACACCTGAGGTCCTCCATTTCCCTCTCCCTCAGAAGTTTCAGATACCGTCGGTAGAAGCATTCGATGGGACCAAAGACCCAGTCGACCACTTAAACTCCTACAAGAATCAAATGGAACTCCAGGGGTATCACGACCCGATTCATTGCTGAGTTTTTGCCATCACCCTAAAGGGGTCGACAATAGCTTGGTTCAATACGTTACAATTGGCGTCAATCTCCTCCTTTAGGGAACTGTCAATATAGTTCGTCTCACATTTCATCGGAGCAAGGACGTACCGAAAGCCGTCCTATCACCTGCTGAGCATCAAACAGGGACCAAACGAGTCCCTCAGAAGTTATGTGCAACGCTTCAACCAGGAATGCCTGAAGGTGG